ACTCCACATTTCTAAATCAAATAGTAATAAAACAATGTCAGTAATAGATAAAAATAATAAAAAAAGAAATATAACGAACATATAATATAAGAGTCAACCGATCAGTAAAAAAGTCAATTCACAAGGCAAAGTCAATTCACAAGGCAATAAATTTTTAGCAGATATTGTAATGCAGGACTTGGAAGAACAAGCTATTAATTGTTTGTCGGCACAACCATTGTTCTATTATAGATATGTTGATGATATTGTTCTTGCTATTCCGCCTGACAAAGTTGATGACACACTTAATATTTTCAATTCCTTACATGGAAGATTACAATTCACTATGGAGATTGGCAGTGACAACAGATTAGACTTTCTTGACACTACTATTATTATTGATAATTGCAGAATTATTTTTGACAATTTTCACAAAAAAACATTCTCAGGTAGATTTCTTAATTTCCACTCAAACCATCCTATGAATCATAAAAAAGGCATTATTATTAGTTTTATTGACAAGATTTTACTTTTATCACATCCTCGGTTCCAATAAAATAATATAACAGATGCCATAAAAATTTTTTTAAACAATTCCTATCCTCTTTCCCTTATTTTCTCCACCATTGATCAAAGAATTAAATATCATATACATAATCAACAGAATATTCAGAATTTTCATGTGAAAGATAAATATTTTACAATACCTTACGTTAAATCCATATCTGAAAGTTTCCTTCCCATATCCAGCATGTTTCAGTGTAAATTGGCCTTTTCAATGGTAAAAATGTAGATTAGGGGAGCCTCCTCCAATGACCTTGGCCTTGACATATGTTGTCAAGGTCATGATCCTGAGTGACCTTGAGGAAGTTTTAACCGTCGGACCTAACTCGTTAAAAAGTTATTAACCAAAAAAGTTTCAAAATTATTTCTGCTATACATGTATGATATGAACAGGAAACGGAAGTAACTGTAACGAAGTTACAGTTACAAGTTACTTTTTTGGTAACTTTACTGGTAACTGCGTTACTTTCTTTTTTTGGTAACTGTAACGAGTTACATTTTTTGGGTAACGGTAACGAAATTTACAGTTACTTTTGTCGTTACTTTGCACACGATTGAACACGGTTCGATTGGATACATACTATTTACAGCGCTTATCAATAAGACTTGAAAGCCCTTAGACATTCGGCCGTTATGATTCATGTTTTACATTATATTCATTTCAATTTATTGCCTTGTGAATTGACTTTTTTACTGATCGGTTGACTCTTATATTATATGTTCGTTATATTTCTTTTTTTATTATTTCTATCTATTACTGACATTGTTTTATTACTATTTGATTATTATATTCTTTTCGTTATATTTCTTTTTTTATTATTTTTATCTATTACTGACATTGTTTTATTACTATTTGATTTAGAAATGTGGAGTCACAATTTACATTATTTGATGTCTTGCTTTGTTGATGGACTCTTGCACGCCGATATAATTATGTTTTCAACAGCGAGTGAGATTGAAAATACCCATATCACAGAAATTATATACATGTTTTTCGTATTTGATTGAGGTTTTTACATATGTTTCGTTTGAATTTTTATATTATCATTGTTTGTACATCGTTAACATTGAAAATGACCTAATTAAGGTCGAAACGTCTGTTTTTGATTTTTATTAAACTTTATATTTATTTATTTTTAATTAATGACAGTTTATTACTAAGACCTTTATATTTTAACTAATGTTGGCTCGTAGCCCTGTTTTATATTAATTAATATTATTAAAACTTTATTATTTCAATGCAAATATTATCAACAAAGACCTTAATAAGTATATTTAATGAACGCCATATATACAATTCGATTGAGAATTTCGCAATTTTTATTCTCAGTATTCAGTTGACTATCCCAAATAACAATATGTTATCCAAAAGGTTCCTAAAAGATATCTTATTTCTGAATCTGATAACTTAGAGAAACTTCTTAAAGATCACATAAAGATAACTGAATGTTATCTAATGCGTCGTTTTTTGAGAACAGAAAGATGTCACAAAAATGATATTTAAAAGATTTCTTAAATTGGACATCTTTATGATTAACATATATATTCATATTTATGATGTCTTAAAGAAATCTGTTATATGTTAATATATAAATTTCTTTAAAAAGAGAGTTTACAGGTTATGTTTACAGGTTTGAATTAATTAATCTTGCCGTTCACTTCATCAGGGCGAGGAATGCACTGATACGTATCTATTAGCGATTTCGGCTGGGAAAATAAGTGTGCACTGGTGCATATTAAAACCGTTGTACACTGTTAATCTACCACCGCGGCAGTACACGGATATAACATATGCACGAACATGTACATTGTACACGGACTTAACATGCACCAGTGTACACTAGTGCATCCCACCCGAAATTGCTACAAGTATCACTGCACTCCTCGCCCTGATGAAGTGAATGGCAAGATTATGAATTCACAGAACGTTGGCGCGATAATCTACAAACCTTCTGGCATCTCTGAAACAGAATCTTTCCTAATAAGTAACATCAAATGAATTTCTCATAAAAGATATCATAATTATGTCTCGTTTCTGAACTGTCAAAAATCATACAACATATTGATATCTTTTATGAGAAAACAAACTAATATCATTTAGCATGACATCATAAAGATAACAATTTCAAGACATCTCTCAAATCGGATATCTTAAAGAGTTCTCTTGGTAGATTCTCTAATAAATGATTATTATGAGATATCGTTTAGACATTATTTTAAAGATAACTAAATGTTCTCTTGAAAAAGTTCTCTTAAAGTTTTCATTCTGACAAGCATGCTGTCTGGGTAGGGAGTCCGTGAAGAACTACCTTAAACAAACAAAACGGCTCCAGCCGATTTTTCCCTCTATCTAAATAAAATTTTTTAATGTATTCGGAATAGTGTATGCTAATTTACAATTGCACATGTTAGCAATTGTTGTAAATTTTTCAGATATTGAATTTACATATGGAATTATGGAAAATTTATTAGTTTTTAAATTTCTATTGTTATTTGAACTGTTGTCCTCAATGTAAAACTTTATTCTATTGTAAATAGTCTAAAAAAATAAAATATAGTAGATAGCCGTTGTTTAAAAAAAATCTTAATAGCATCAATTAAATATTGGGTAATTATGCATTATAACGGACCACCCTCCGATGACCTTGACCTTGACATATGTTATCAAGGTCATGACCCTGAGTAACCTCCAACAAGTTTTAGCCGTCGCTCGCCCTTCGTTAAAAAGTTATAATCAAAAAAAGTTTGAAAAATTACGTTTTATTTCTGCTATATATGTATAATATCAAGTACTATTCTACACCTTTCCCTGTTTAGAAACGTTAAACTTTCCACGCAAAGTAATCTTCACCCCCCCCCCC